TCTGTTGCTAGCACATTCCCAAAACATGTTTTCTCCATTTTGCTTTGGAAGCAATTGCCAGGCACCTGCACTTTGAGTTAGTGATTTTTGCATTATGGGACTGTGCAGGTGTGAACTACCTTTAGCCAAGACTGGTAATGCAAGAGAGAAGGCTTAGAAGGCCAATAAGTTGTCTTTCTGGCTCCCCCTGAAATGTAATGGTGAAGACCTTATCTCCTAATGCAGTAGGAAAAATCCCTGCTTTCATATTTCAAGAAAGTAATTAATAGAAGAAAACTGGGAGTTACATGCAGAAGGGGAATTCTCATCCCAGGGCAAGGTGCTTATGTGCTGTAATACCATGGCATGGAAAGCACTTGTATTAAAAAAGTAGATAGCAGCCAGCCTATTGACCAAAAGCACAGGAATCAAGAAATTAAAGGCTGTGTCCAAAATCCTAAGTATGTGCTAGGTTAAGGGACCTCCTGTAGCCTTGAAATGGCCACCAGTTACCTCTGTCCTGACAGATGGTCCCCACTCCTTTCATTTAACCAGCTTGTCAGTAATGCTTGTGCAGGTGTTTTTATCCTGTATAGATGCAAGGTATCATTTGTTGCATGTTTACTATAGTTATATAGTAAGAACTTGGTTCTGTTCTGGTTTGCCAGGTGGCATGTTGAGGGTTATGTGCCCTCATGCTGGGAAGTCATCATAAAACTTGTCTTCCTATTGTTGCTCACTGAAGAGAGAAACTGTAGTTTGAAATGGGCTTTATTTTCTACACAGTTTCTGGTGTTGTCTCACAACAGAAATAAAGAGATGGCCCAAAGGCAAGTTCCACCTGAGACATACACCAGATGCTGCCTGAGCTCCTGCAGGGCAAGGCAGGCTGGGAGTGTGGGGAGCAGCTCAAGCTGCACTATGCTGACCCATGAGGCATCTGCTAGTGTTGGGTCAGGGGCTGAGCTTTCATTTGCTTTGTTGAGTGTCACAGAAAACAGTAAAAATGAACATGTGCTGTATCTCTTTGTGTACAAATTCTTGAAAGAGAAGCAGGCCAAGCTGCTGGCTGCCTGACATTATATTCCTAAAACCTTACTGAAGCTTTAAAACTTTAAGTGGCTGGTGAGAGGCAGACATCCTGTGTGGCATCCTCAGATGCTCTACAGCTACGTGTATACTTATTTTCTAACCACAGGCATTGGTTTGAATCAAGTGCATATGCACTTCCTGGGGCCTCAGAAAACCCACCACGGGTCACAGAGCAAGGTTGCTCTGCTATGAACATGCTTCTGTTTGCACATGTTGTACACGGCCAAGTTGTATAGGGCTAGCTGCACTGAGTCATTAATGATGATAATTTGCCTGGCCAAGGTAACTGTTTTTATGTGCTTGGGTATGAAGAAAAGGCAGTGTATCATTGAGACAGTACGCTCCTGCTTAGGGAAAACCCCAGATACCCTCCCTTGGGGCAGCTGTTAGAAAGTGAAGAGTGTAATACTGGAGGTTCTAACTCTCCATGATGATGGTTTTTATCTTCGCAACATTAGGTTTGGGTGGGCTTTGGCCCTTCCATGGCTTTTTTTTTTATGATGCTTGATCTCATTTTTCACCCCACTGTGGCAGATTACAGAGCTGCTCGAGACCACTCTCAGGCTTGGTTACTCACTTGGCTGGGGCATCTCCTCATCCTACCACTTCACCAGCATCTCCATCTCCTCCAGCTCCAGTGAAGCACTGCAACCAGACCTTAGGCAGGCCTCTTGGCTAGGACATTACAGAGGACAGAACCTCACACCAGCTTCACATTGCCTGTGCCTGCCACCAATTACCTGAGCTCACCATGGCTTAAAGCACATCTTTTCCTGATGTCAACCAGTTAAGCTGTAAATCTTTTGACTTACAGTTTCATTCTTCAAGATCTTGCATGAGTGCTCATAAGATTTTTGAAGGTATCTTTGTCATCAATTTTACAGCTTGAGAGCTGTACAGATCTGCACAAAACCCAGTTAAAACTCCTCTCACTTAACTGCCTCAGTTTTCTCAGCCAGTTACAGAATCCCATTAATCAGGTGTAAACCCACAGTTTCTTTCTTGATTTTGGTGGACCACATTGCTGAGTCATTCACCTTCACCTCATTGGAATATTTTTGCCTGTTTGCCCTTTCATACTTGAAAGTTGGGAATCTTTTCGGTGCCATTTTACATCTCCCCTTTGTTGCATCTTTTCTGACGTCTTTTTCTTTGCTATTTAGGAACTGCCTGTCTCTGTCTCCAGACTTCTGACTGGAAGTAAGATAAAAATGGTTTTTTTTTGAGTAAGAAACACCTGCTGTTGAGACATGTTTTATCCTAGATCATCATTCTCATCTAGCCATCTGTGATTTTTCTCTACTCTAGTCCTATGCGTTAGAAGTCCAAATATATTAAAAATTACAGCAATTCAAAAGTTTTCTGTTCCAAGCTATCTGTCAGAAATCATGTTTCTTCCCTGTTTATCCTCCCCCTCTTATCCTTCATTCTTTTGTCTTCTGTGTGCACAGCAAGTACATCAGGGCCAATCTCACAAAGCACTGGCATAAGAAAGGTGGATGGAAAAGACACTGCATTTGCTGGAAGCTGGAAGGAACGACAGCACTTCATACTCAGAGGTGATTTGATGACAAGAGTCAGAAAGAAGTCTAATGTTTGAGGGCAGTGAGCTGCACAGAAACCTGCAAAGAGATACAGGATCATAAGCAATAAGATAGGAAGCACTTTGTATTGCGTGAGAACTAGGCATTAATCAGGAAATGTTTACTCTGTAAATGACATGTAAATACACTAGAAGAACAGGGGACTTGACTGAGACAGAGAAGAGCTATCAGAGGGAACGTGCATTAAAGGAGTTAGCTGTGGGACTCCTGTGAACAGGAACTGGGGGCACAGAGGACAGTGTGTGCAAGGAAGATAAATTCAGGAGTCACAGCAGGGTTCAAACTAGCACAAAGGTGTGTATTTGCACCTAGAAAAAAGCAGCACCTGGACAGTGATACATCACAGTTTGTGTGAAATACCACCCACCACGACTGAAATGGTTCATTCAGGCTAAGATCACTTGACCAACTAGTAACAGCATCCAAAAGGCACAGACACTATTCAACAGTTTATACAGTGAAACATCAAAAGAAAAAATTTCACTCCATTTTAAGGTGTCATTGTATAGGCTGAGACAAGTGTGCTTTTGGTGGGGAAATGCTTTCTCTTGCATTTCTCCTAGGGAAAAGTCTTCTAGGGCAAAGTTCCTAGTGAGTTCTGCAGGATTCAGATAGAACTACGACTCAACAGTGCTACTGAGAGGGTATTAATGAAACTAATTATGGCAGATGTAGTATTGTTGTCCATTATTTTTTCAAAACTGAAGTTATTCTCTCTGGGTTTTAGTAAGTGAAAGGAAATAGATGGAGGGGGGGGGGTAAGACCATGTCAGCACGATTGAGATATTCATGAATATAGTCTCTTGAATATTTATTGTAATCACAAAAGAAATAAAACGTCAAACAAAAAATTAAACAAAATCCACTTGGTATACAGAAGTCACATACAAACAGAATATCCAATGGAATACACATGGTCTCTAGTTCCACATAGAATTAAAACTCTGCACATGGATAAAACTTGTACTTCACATTCAGACAAGAGCTCCCATGGATGTATGTGGAAAAGTCACAAAATTTGTCACCCAGCAGCATTTTAAACTAATATATTTTTTAGAAACACAGCAACTATATTGCAGTAAGGGTTGGGGGAGGAGGGACAGATTGAGTCTCACCCCCTCACAATGTATCCTAAGCAAGTACTTCAACTTTTCTTCAAGAACAAGTCAGTAAGCAACCTAGCTTGAGGGAGCCAGAACAGCTACATATTTTCAAGGCAAGCATTTTTCTTTGCGCATGTAATCACATGTCTGTAAGGAATAATAAAAATGCTAGGTAAAATAATCTGCCAGCCCTTGAACACTCAGGTCAGTTAGCAATAAAAAGTTTAGGTTAGGCATCATCAGTCCTGTAGCAGTCTGCATATCTGTATTTAAGTGGCACATCCTATTGCGACTGTTACTTGTCTGCTGCTCAGCTACAAAGATACCAAGAATTACTTTTTTTTTTTTTTTTTTATTAGGTAATCCCAAATTTCTCTCCACATTTTGATTTCACTCTGGTCTGTCTAATTTTGCAGTTTTCATGGCAGAAGATACAAAACCGGGGAGAATTTTATGGGCTGCTCAGGTTACTCCAAGTACCATCCTGCGCTACTTAATGCAATCTGGCTATTCTTTCTCGGAGAAACTATATGATGACAGGAAAGGAAACCCATTGTACTAGTTTCCAGTGAGCCTTAAGAGTTTAATTCTTTTCCTGACCAAGCTAATCTAAAAAAACCCCAAACAAACCTAAATCAACCTTGTACATTGTCATAAAAATGCATCAGATAAAACTGAAAATCTACTTATGTACCCTTTAATATGGTACTAACAAAAATAATTTGATGTCAGGATTGTTAAGCAAAACGAGTTGCGCCCCTTGGCCTTGACTCAGTGGCACATCTCTACTTAGCAAAGCCCCAAGGCGAATAACACTTTCCTTTGAAACCAGAGATGTATCAAGAATTATCAGAATGAGCTGCTCTTCTGCAGGGTCAGTGGGCACAGCTGGGAGCCCATAGCAGATCAGTGAGTCAGGGTTTAAGGTGACACATGTATCCAAGGATTTTGCTGAACAGTAATGTACTTAGAGAACTATTACAAATATGCAAGGATAACAGGGAAGGAAAAAGAAATGATGGGGTGTCTCCTTTTAATTTTATGGCTAGATTCTGGGCTGCAGAGCTTATACCTCAGCTTTACTGCTAACAGTAGAGTTTACTGCTAACAGCAGAGTTCTTCAACATTGAGGGCTACTGAACAGCTGTGTGAAGAGTCTGGGTCAATATATTTAAGGATATATCTTCCATCTTTAGGAATAAGTTAAGTTTTTTTTTAGAAAAGTAAAGAAATTTAACTGTCAGAAGTGACTGATTAAGGTCACTGTACACTGTGATGGCCCATTTTCACTGTGACCTTTAAGCTGTTCCTAAAAATATTAACTCAGGGCATCAACTGAAGTTTTGTGAGTCATCTGCAAGAGCACTGAGTACCCCTATTTAATATTTCAGGAAATTATTATGAGTTAACTGTGTCAGTTTAGAGAATACATGCTACATGATATGAAATACCATCAGAGGAAAATATAAGTGATTCTTTAAGAATAAATAACTCATCGTAATTGCTGAGCTATAGAAGGTTCTTCTAATGCTTCTAGAGAACATGCTTTAAAAATATAGGTAGAGAGTTTACAGCCATCTCCTTACTGAAAGAGCTATCCCCAGTTGTGTTGGTATAACATGGTAATATTCAAACAGGACACAACTCTAAAAGTAAAATTGACATGCACTTGCAGTAAACATAGAAATATCTTTAACCGCTGGCTCATATATGAAAAATAGTTTAAATGACTTAAGGTTATTTTTACACTGCACTTGTAAAGCGTTTACTATACAAATTTTACTATAAGACATGTATATCTACTGGAAATCTTAAGTCACACAGACATCATCAACAGCTCATCACACATACATGACACTTCTCCCATTCACACAAGTTTATATACACTGAGTAAATAGTTAAATATTGCACTTATTGGCCCATAATTCCTCAGTTTTGAGGTATTAACAAATAGAAAACATAACTATTTTTATAACACATTTTCATGCAACATTTAAGACGTGAATTCCACAAGCACTAGTATATAGGTTACACATTCTGACAGTACAACTGAGCCACAACACATCTGACATTACTGACAAAATATTAAACAGGAGTTACAGCACAAACATTTCATTTAACACGAGTTGCAGGTACATGTCAGAATTACTTGAGGAAGTTTATCACCAGAAGTGGTGAGCTATTACTAGCTTTCTTTTTTGCATGTTATGCATGATCCTGAAGTCACTGAAAGATTAGGACTTTTGTTTCCTCCCCCATTCAAATACGAGGTACCTTATTCTACAAATGACAAGTCATCTACATCTGCTGGAACCATGAATAAACCTAATTTGGGTCTGCAGATGTTACCCAGGTGGTTTCTGGTGCTAATGTGAATTTATAAATAAATATAGATAAATAGATGAATTCCACTGTGGCATTTAGGAAAGTCTGCACTGAACACAAACAAGTAACAGTGGGAACTGAATAAGTGCCAAAGATGCACTGCTGTGTATATATGTATACTATACACGTGTAGTTGCAATTTCTGCTTCAATGAACATCCATTGATAAACAAAGTAAAAAAAAAAAAAGTTAAAAAAAAAAAAAGAAAAGAAAGCTCATATTGCAAAGGTCAAATACATTCACCCCTTATAAAGAAAACTGGTAGAAATCATTCAAATAATTGAAACAAATTGCCTTTTTAAATCAGACTTGACAAACAATGAACCTTGGAAAATCTAGAATTAGAAGGTAAAAATTAAATGGTGCAAATCAACACAACTCACTCCTCTGCTGGCGTAAGTGAAGACATGTTGCTTTGTATCACTTGAGGAATCATCTATGAGGATCTACATACTCATGGTCTCATATTCCCAAATCTGTTATCCTAAAGAACTAGGCTCATGCAGCATGTGTCTGTCTATATGAAACAGGCCAAGGAGGAATCTGCCCATCAGCAGAACAGTAATTTGGTTGATGCCCTTAAAAATGCAAGTATTAAAACTTGCTTCTCAGAAATACTGAAATGGGTAGCTAGGGACGAGTGGAATTTGAGAGGGAGGCTTCTTTTAGAATGCAGCTGCAGCATCATTCATCTGCTATTGGAAAAACAAAGGCATCATCACCATATGTAGAATTTGTGCCCCTTTTTTTTTTTCCTAAAAATGATAAACTCAAAGCATTCTCATAGCTAGGAACAAATTCCAGCAGATTTTGTGCACCCTGAAGTAGTTCCTAAAATAAAGAAGATGCAGGTGGTATGGCTGAATATACAGAGTTGAGCAGACTGGACAGAAAACCTAATCCTTCAGACTGGTGCTCTGGAAAGGCCACACAGATGCAGTTGATCATGTAGTTCCTCTAGGCATTATATTAAGTTTAAGCAAGAAGGAACAAACAGTTTCAGGTAACAGTCACACAGCTGTTCAGAGAGAAGGAGTGATTTTTTGACAGAAAGTCAGGCTAGCTCATATGTATTTCAAACACAAAACAAAACAACAACAACAAAAGATACAGTATTAAGTTAGTTACACTATAAGGACCAGAACACTTGTGAACATGAACCCTTATCAGAAATAAGCCATGCATCTGAAGGTTCAAACAGCAGGGCTTGCTAGATGTTCGGCACATCGATCAGTGCCAGGAGGCACTGCAGGAATCAGTCACGTCCCATGTGCTTCTGTGCTCCTGAAGCATTTCCTGAGCCCCAGGCTGACCATGCAGCAAGCAAGACACTGTAAGAGCATACGGGTGGTGCATTACTCATGCACTGGATTAGCCTGCTGCTAAAAGCTTTAGTCCAGGTCATAACTCATAAAATGGGTTGTGTAGTATTAATTCAGCTGGAACTATGGAGCTCTGAAGCCTCTGCCCAAAGGCATCTAATCAATCAGAAATTTAACGTGGTTGGTGTGTCACCCACTATATCTCACCATTTGGCCTAAATCTGAAGAGGCTGTCTGTGTCTGGACCAAGGTTCCACCACATTCAGTGTTATTTCTGTCCTGAGAGCGACAACAAATTAGTACAGTGTGCAAGTATGTTTTCACCAAGAATTGTGATGAGATTGAAAGTAGTTTTGGTTATTTTATCCCCGTTTTCAATTTGATCATACAGTCCTCTTCCATTGCTAGAATACAATGCTTTTTAGCCTGTTACTTTCTCTTGATGGAGCTATGCTGCACCAGTGGATAAATCAGGGTTCTAGCCAAATCCTGCTTGTCTCCTCCAAAAATTCATAATCGGTGGCTACTAGATATGTGTAAATAATGTGCCATTGATTGACTAAATTTTGGTCCTTGATTAGGGATGGGATTTCCAAAAGTATTCAGCCTAACTTCACTTGCATTTAAGAAAATTGCAGTTCTACCACATAAGCCAAGAGAAGCCAGCGTAGACTGGCACAGGCTGCTTTTGGCCTTTTGCATTTGATAAAAAGGCCAAGACACCATTTTTAATAGAATGAAAATCCCAATCCTGCTAGTTTCCTCAGCATTCAAACTAGACTTTAAAATATCTGGGGAAGGAATAGCAAGTTACTTAAAAGCCTGTCTTTTTTGTTTCTGCAATGGCCATCTGAGAGGTACATGATCTACATGTGAGCAGATTTTTTAGCAGAAATCTCAATATTGCTGTGAGACACATGGCTGCAAAAGCCAACCTGTAACAGAAATCAAAGCCTACTTTTCAGTAGGTAACCCTGATTGTTAAGAAAAGTTCTAGTTAAACTTCCAACTTTTTCAATTACAGATGAAGAGATAATAGGATAAATTGTGTTTGATGGGACATCAGGAGGTCATCCTCCTCAACCCCCTGCTCAAAACAGTGTCATCTAAGAGGTCTGAGCAGTTTGCCCAGGGCTTCAGCCAGTCTGCTCTTGAAAACCTCCCAGGATTTGATGTGAACACTTAACAAGTTAATCTGACTAATTCTGAAGTCTATGACATGTCTGAATGCCAATACAAAGATCCTAGGAGTTTTTAAATACTGACTGGTTCTGCTATTGTACTTCAGATGATCCTTTTCTTTACAACACATGGCTGGCACTCTAATGAACAGTTTTACTCCAGCAGCTGCTTCCCCCATCCCATGCAGGAGACATGTTGAAGGTTGGCTGTCTCAGAAATGCAAAGGAGAGATTCTCCCTGCTTGAGTTTGCTGATCCTCTTCTGCCCAGGCTCTTGATGCAAAATTAAAGCAGTTAATTCATCCTATTTAAGAGCTATTTATCTATTACTCAAATTGTTTAAAAAGATACATGCTAACGCGGCTATTGCCATCACTAATTAGAGACTAAAGGGTCATAAAGAGGCATGGATGTCCCAGAATTCATTGCATGGTCACCAGGTGGGGTCTGGAATTCACTGCAATGCAGTATAAGCAAGGTGTGGCTGTAGCAAGATGCATCTTGGAGTCTTTTTTCCTTGTTATGATGCGCACAGAAGATGAACATTTTGCAGCAAGCACCCCAGAGAAAAGCTGGAAGAATACTTGCCTTTGTAGCCATGCTGCATGACCCAGGATATGCCCAAGCATATGTAAGATGTGACTATGTTCTCCTCTCTCCTTGTCTTGCCTGAGATGGCTCAGACTAATAACACAACCTAAACATTTTCTAAAGGACTTGAGGGCTGAACTTGAGTGCTCTCTCAAGACTTCCCTGCTCCAGCACCAACAACTGCACATAACAAGAAAAGGATGGGAAAACGCCTACCATCTCACACAAAGTTTCCTCAGCTTCTTATAACTTCTTTTTCCAAAGCAGCTGGTATGTAATGAATGAAAACATATTAATGAAAGTCTCTCAGCACAGTTATCAACATGCTGCCTCAGATGGTGGAAAGAAAAGCAGCATCCCTGGAGAGAGACAAAGTTACAGTTGGGATGACACATGCCTCTTCTACCTGGCTGTTCACCATCCCCAAAGAGAACAGTGCTTTCTCTTCATGGAGGTAAATAAATGAAGACCAGCCTCCGTGTCTGCTAGGAAAACAAATGCTTAAGTAAACTGGCTAACAGGACAGACATGGTTTAAAACCACAGACTGAAGAAAGAACATGTATTCATTTAAGTTAGGCAGCCGATGTAGTGCCCTGATGGTATATCCACTTTACATGGGTCTATAAGCCTTGTTTCAAAATCATTGTTACTGTGTCAAAAGTGTATATAGGTTATTTAATCAGTAAAAAAAGTGGCTATTTTCTCCTAGTGTGTTTCAGGATTTATATAAACTATGTTCAAAAAAAGTAATTTGCGTAGAGGGATTTCTTTGCAGTTTTAAGCAGTTTGCAGTACATTGTGTTACTTCCTTTTCTAATTTGTCTTCTGATTTTTCCCACTGCAGACAGTTTAAGAAATGTCAGCCTTGTCCTAAATTCTGTCTAACTGGAACAATAAAACAGTTAACGCTTCTTCAATTATGCCATTTAGTTAGAAAAAGTCATTATGACGCAAGTAAAGGAGTTGTACAAAGTACTCCAGGGCACAAATGTAAGAAACTGCCACCAATTACTAGGACTACTTTTAAAAACTGTGAAATATGACTATTTTTGACATGTTATTAAAAAAGCATTTGTGTACTTTACTCTGCTATCTTCACAGCCTTTTGCTGATCTTATGAATGTATTCAGGCTAACACCAGAAATTTTGATAATTTTTTATTACTTCTAAAGTTTTTAAAAATCTTGTGAAACTCTGATTGTCTTGTCAAAATAAATATCCCCAAAGTAAAAGTGAGGTCAAACTCCAGTTCACTGAGACCAGCAGCACTTTTGCAATAGGTCTGAGTAGAATACAGGCAGTGTGTTGCCTGTGTTTCGGTGGTTATTGTCTCAGTGACTGAATGAAAGATAAAATTCCTGAAAATTTAATAGGCAGGTTTGACAGCAATGTGACAAGACAGTTTTTGGCCATGAACAACCAAGCATAATGGATTTGACTCTGTCACGGGGTAATATAAAACTGTGTGTTTAGTATCTCATGCAAGTAGACATGGAAAGAGCTACTTAGCCCTCCAGTACTAGGTAGGTACTACCAGAATCTTAGTAATAATGGAATGAGAAATTAAGTTCAGTATCAGAAAGGTGTTAGATAACACATGCAGCTCCCAGGGAAATATAAACATACTATCTATAAAAAAAGGATGAAGTACCTAATATCTGAGTGTCTGCACTGAATACCCATAACCAGTTGGATACTCACAGGAAAGTTTGGTGGGTTTGGGTCCAGGAACTAACTTCTAATGCTATTCTGGAAATTCTTCTGCAATTTCCAGTCATCCAGGATGTGTAACATAATGAGTGTAGATTTGCCGAGGAAATATACTCCAGGAAGTGTCCCTTATACAAATGAGCTGGACAGAATGAGGGATTTTGTCTCTAAAGTAATGTTTCTAAATCAATTTTCAGTCAGGAGAAAATGCAAGTGGCATCAGGAAGTGTATTGTAAGCCACACTGGCCACAGCCCTAAGGATTCAATTATATAATTTGAAACTGATGAAGCAAGAGTCAATTCTAGGCAAATGTGGTCTGAGAACATGGCACCAGCTGAAGTAAGTGTAATGTGAAACAGTAAAATAAAAGAGAAACTAATAGCCATCCTGCATGCAAAAGCCAGATGCTAAAACCTGGATCATCCTTTCAAACTAACAACCATTCCAACACCTCCATACGCATTCTCCACCAGCTGCTGATGTAAAATAGAAGATTTTTCTCCCAAATAAATTAATAAGACAGTATAAATAAAGGCATATAGACCATTCACAAATACTCTGTTGGCCACTGAACACACTGGAGCTGCCTTTGCTGATAGCTGCATTAACAGCCGCAGTTGGGCTGCTGTGGAGGAGGGGTGTCCTTTAGCTGTGTGTTCTGCTTGCTGGCAGCAATGGTTGGATCCATCTCCAGGCTTTCTGACATCTTGTCACAGATGATATCCACGAGTCGCTCAAATGTCTGCTTGACATTAATGTTGTCCTTGGCACTTGTTTCAAAAAATTCAAATCCTAAGAAAATAAACAACACGTTTATGTTCAATGCATATTCCAGGGTCTCCAAGAAATATACAAACCTCTCCTGGGCAAGGAAGAGCAGACACACACTCAGAAAGCAAATGTGAGAGCATGTGCAAGAGAGAGTGGTACTGGAAGGGCAGTTAAAACTGTAGCACAACCGAAAGTAAGTACATTAGTGGTATTTGTTTATACCAAGCCAGTCAGGAACAGGACAAAACCACTCCCTTAGACAAATTCTACTTAAAAATAGTTTAATTAAAAAATTGTCACCAGTTTAAGAGCATTGTTTTTTTAGAAATGCCCTATGTACCCACTCATTGAGAAGGAATAATCTGCTGTTCCATCTCTATTCTGAACATTATTCAGCTGGAAACAGACACTTCCATTTGTGCCATTAACCTGGTGCCAAAAGAACCCAACTATACTTAGAAATAACCAGGTAAAGAAACAAGCAAGAAAATTAAAAACTGCTGCAATTTGATATCTACTTATGTTAGAGGTGAATCCATGAGAGCAAAGGGGCTCCCAGTGCCACAAACCAAGCTAAAAAGAAAATAAAATACACAAATGCATGCAAGGAAGAAAACTTCCTTAGTTTACGTGGAAGGACTTTTTAGCTATTTATTCCCAACGACTACTCCAAAGGCAAAAATCTGAGCTATCCTTAACCCAGAAGGGACACTGGAAGCCTTTATGGAACAGAGCCAGCTCTTCTAAGCTCTTTTCTCCATGTCCATTTGTCCCATGTCTAATCTTCCGTGTCTGCCTCCTTCCTCTGGGCAAGGTTTGCAACTTGCTGATCAGCCTGCAATACAGCAGGCTTCTGCCAGTGCTGGCTCGTCCCATGTTCTTGCTTCCCTTGCAAAATATTTACAGGAAAACTGTTCATAATAAAAGACCATCTAAAGACATCATACTGGAAAGAGCTTTGAATCTACATCGCCTTTTTAATTAAGCTTGGCTTACACAAATCCTTTGTTACAAACTAGAAGGAAAGTGGCGAAAGCCAGTGTAGCTTCACTTGCTGTGCTGCATGCAGGAAAAGACTGTTCAGAATGCTCAGGGACAGCCTGGGGAAAGGAAGATTCTCAACATTTTCAGTGCTCTGTGTTGAAACCTGGCTGCAGCTCTACTACAGCAACACAGTCAGATCATTCCACAAGTGTTAGTGTTAGCTCACAGGAAGCAGGAGGAAAGCAGCCATTCCAAAGAGGAACAAGCAGGACCAAAGGGCAGAAGGTTTGAGGGACAGTGAGAGGATGCCTGAGAAATAGCACACCAAAGCATTGGAGAAAATGACAGGAAAAAGAATGACTTTTAAGGACATTTATGAGGGGACCAGTTTTTACAGTTAACAAGACAGAATAATAGGCACATGAGATGATCACAGAATGGTAGATATGACAGGTATATGTGTCACAAAGAAGGGACGAGAGCCATGTCAGGAAATACTGTAACATGGACAGGATCGAGAAAAGAGACCCACTACCACAGTTAGGATGTTCTGCATAAAAACACTGTGAAAAACTCAGAGGCACCCATTCTCCAAGTAAAACAGAGGTATGCAGAGTGCTCAAGCACAAACATACTTATTCAGATAAAGTAAGACACCACAGCTGTGGTGAAATCTCAGTTTCACTGGAATTTCAGTTATGATTTTGATATAAGAAGGAAACTGCAGTCACAGTAGTGGTGTAGCTGAGTATCAGGCTATGCCTGTATACAAATCTGATCAATTTAGTCACTAATTACCTGAGCGATCCAGGGCCTCCCTGGTTAGACCCTGCATAGGTGAGACAATGCACTGACCCGTGAGAAAGTGACAGAACTCCCAGCTGCCTCCACAACAAAGTATTTGCTATAGTCTTTACAGGAACTGTACAGGTAGGCAACCCTGGAGACTCCCCCCCCCAGTCAGCCTCTGCTGTGCATAGACAATATTATAGGAACTATATGCTTAAATGTGCTGATAAACATCCTAAGTAGAGAATGGGTTATGCTGGTGGGCTTCCCCCAGGCAGTTCCTGCTGTAGTAGAATGGATTCAGCTGCACACAGGTAGGACACTTGTAGTTGATCTGTGGTGTAGAAACAGTTTCTTGCTCACACAGAACAGTCTTTTGACTGAAGCCAGTTAAGACAGTTAAGAAATGCTTTGTGTACAGTTTAAAGTAATCACTGCCAAATGATCATGGTATGTAGTGGGCAAGTAGGACTAGCTAGATTACAAGAATTAGCAGAACAAGAGTTCACAGAGTCTCATTTGATGTAGCTGAAGACATTATTGCAAAGACCCTTGCAACAGAAGCTCATGTTGCCACCCAGCCAGCCACTGAATGTTCTGTGCAGGGGATTCAGTTCCTCACTGACAGTTACCTTATGCAAAAGATCCCAGTAAATTAGAGTGGTGTTTATTTTTCATTTGTTTGTTCAACAGAAACTCTATCTCAGAAACTCAAAGAGATATGGAACATTTTTCCCAGCAGAGTGTGCATGTAATAAATGGCTGAATTCTGGTTGTTTTCCATTTTATGTAATATTTTGTAGAACTTGACCTTTCCTCTCCTCCTGACTCATCTTGCAATTATTTTACTAATAGTGCTTAGACACCATAAGCTTTTAAAATGCATGTGTATGAGGGCCCCAGATCTCTGCCTTTTAATACTTTCTTCAGTTTTTTTTCCACTGCTCATTATTAACAGAGAAAAAAATCTTCCATAACACTGTAAAGCTGGAGTGAGGAAATCTGGTGATGCCCAGGGTTCTGCTCAAAGAACACCATGTTCCTACCACCTGTGATGATCTGTACTGTTTGATGCGGATGAGACCTAGCACAGCTGAGTACTGCAAAGAAATGACAAAGCCCAAGAGGCAAGCGGGTAAGTAAGGCAGAAGAGAACCTCATTTCAGCTGAGATGGAGTTAATTTTCTTCCTAGCAGCTGTGTTTTGGGTTTAGTGTGAAAACAACAATGATAACACACATGTTTTTAGTTGTTGCTAAGTAGGGCTTATCCCGATTAAGGACTTTTCAGCTCTGCCAATGAGGTGCACAAGAAGTGGAAGGAAGTAGAGACAGGACATCTGACCCAAACTAGCCAAAGGGGTATTCCGTACCATAGAATGTCATGCTCAGTACATAAACTGCAAGGTTTTGGTAAAGGAGGGACTTATCGCTTACTGGAAATTATTTGGGCATCAGCTGGTGGTGAGCAATTGTAATGTGCATCACTTGTTTATTCCTTCCCCTCTCTAAGTTGTTCTTATCTCAACCCATGGGGGTTTACATTTTTTCTGATTTTCCTCCCCATGTTCATCTGATGAGATATAATGCACACAGAGTAGTAACCACCCTGAAACACATAAACAGCATGAATTACTGACTTTGTTCTCTCCCTGCCTTGTGTTTGTCCTGACTTCACAGAGGTTCCTTCATCAATGCTCATTAACTCTTGTTTATGGTTCTTTCAAAAAATAAAGAAGAAAAAAATAAGGACACCTGCATGCAGAGCAAAGAACATTCTGCACCCTCTCATCTTCCTGAGAAAATGTGACATCAAGAGGGCACACAAGACAGCAAATTTTAAGCACAATTCCACAGTCAATACAGACAAACTATGTTCATGTTTCACCAGCTGATTAAGAAGACCTTCTGGTTTCGGAGTGGTTGTCCAAAACCGAGACAACTTTATTTACCACCGCTGATGTTAGGTTTAACAAATGTTCTCAAGGATGTGCTCCTGCAATAACTATCCTTTCTTGAAGACAAGCCTGAACATGATTTTTAGCACTGCTCTTGCCAGTGCCCTGTTGAACCCAGTATTTCGAGTAGTAGGAGACTGAAACATCAGAGCAAGAAGCAGCTGCTCCCTTTGTCACACAGTGGTGTACAAAAGGCAAAATCTAGGAAACCATGGGAATGAATTATTTAACAATGTCATAGCATATAAAGTGGAGGAGTTTTATTTTCTTGGATTTATTTTCTTGGATTTTGCTTTAGTTTCTTGGATTCTGTGGGTAGTTCTGACGGGGTGCTGGTAGGCACTTCTTGCCTGCTGTGAACAGTTTGCATTCACACTGCAGGCTGTCAGTCAAGGCAAGTGCAGGCCCTTTCTCCCCTCCTCAGATGTCCACTTCCTCAGAACTGTTAATATATTTGAGACCTCTACTGCTTTCTCAAAGAGAGACAGACACACATGGCAGGACTGCAAAGGTCAACTGGGAAACTGGGCTGGAAGTAGCCAGAGACTACTGATGTTCTTCAAAGTACCTCGTATGCCCACAACTGTGGTAGCAGACCTGGTTACACTGTGCTCTGTGTAACACCCTAGTACCTAGTGCAGCATGAGCGCAACACACATGGTTTGGACCTATAGCAGGATTATTCTTCTGCAGCAACTTTAGGTGCCCTGGTGTTACTGTAGTAGCAGTACTTGTAGACCAGTTGGATGGGACCTCTGTGGTCTAAACAAGCCCAAGGGCTGGCCTATGTTTAGTAAAGTATTAAAATGACATTAAGTCCCCAAATTGGACTTTGCTAATATTACCTCAGCAAAGAGCAATGTTTTAGCACCATTCTGGGTAGAACTAATGTAAAGGTTGTTAACAGAAATGCTTAGACATTTATCCAACCTTTAGGGTGGCCAATTTATATATACGTGTGAATATATATATATATATATATATATATATATACACACGCAAAAGGTAAAGGAGGACTCTCAGCTGTGGCAGAATGGACAGACCTGAGGAGCAGTAATGTTCTAATGAACACCTTCTTTTCTGCTCTTTCAGAACAGCAGGTTTCCATATAAATTCCAGTTGTACTGATTTTGATTGTGGCTTCCACATACCTTTTAAATAGGCGCATTTGGGCAATTAACTAGACTCCTGCCAAAGGATTTTCTTTTGCTTGTTTGCGTGAGATGTTTGTGGAGCAAATACAATCCCTTTTTTCTCCTTCTCATTAAGTAACTTTCCTGTAATGCAGTTCC